AGTGATTTTTACTGACTCCAATAATAACAAGCATTTTGTTGTCAGTGACCAATTATTGAACTATTTAGTTTCCAACTTAAATCATTGTCATCACCCTTCCTCCCTCAAAGCCATTTCATTCTCTTCCACCCAATGTAGAATGAAAACTCTTCCTTCACGCACTTCTACATATAGAACCAACCTCAATCCTCATGTTTTCCGAATACTCGTAGACCACGACTGAGTGATCAGCGATCTCGGTATTCACTTCCGTCAATTGTCAAAATGCATTTCCTGCTTCTCTTTGCTTCTACGCATTTCCCTGTACTGGTACAACCTTCCTTTTCGAATTCATTTGGTACAAAAGCTTTCATCGATTTCACCCAGAGTCAGGTAAATGAGCTAATTTACAATCGCCTTTCCGCGAAACTCTCGGAATGTTGGCCTGAGTTAAGTGATGCGAATAGTATTAGATTCCCTGAAATATCGAAAGATACAAAGGACATTCATTGAACTGCATCATGAATAATCGTGAACAAGGGTGAATGGATAGATTCGGCGAACCACATCAACATAAACCTGCAAACGTTCGCTCTTGTGATGGATGTTATACACTGAAGCAAAATTGTTCCCCGGTATAGTCAGTCAGATAGCTGAACATGTCCCATAAAAGTAAATTTGACCCAATACCTAAAATATGGTCAACAATTCTCAGTTGACATATCAAAGAAGTAAACCAGGGGGAAAATCAAGCCTTTACAAAATATGATAATTCTTGCTTAGGACATCCACATTGGAAACGGCAAAATGAAATAATTTCGAACATGTATGGGCAAGATTGAACAATCAATAGTCCATTATAATAGTTTTGTCAATAGTTTTGAAACTGGTTGAAGATTTCATCACTGAAACCTCACCATATGATCTAATATGTTGCCTTGGTTCAGTACCTGATCTCAAATGGAATATATACACAATCAGGCTATTTCCCGTTTGGTTACAAGTTTTCCGTGGTGAAGCTTTGAACCAAGTGTGACACCATGTGCGCTTGACTTATCAATGCAATGATGAATTTTCCAAGTGTGAGCAAATAAAGGTCAATGAAGCAATCACGTGAAAACGAGTTGGGATAGCTGTTTTAGTCATCTGGTTGTCAATGGTCATTTTACTGAATAACCAAATTGGAAAAAATCATTGATCGTGACCATTTGCATTATATAGATTGATCAAAGTTAGTTTTATTTCATTTTCTCTTTTGTTCAATAGAAACCATACAAACAGATTTCGAGGATCGAAAATATTTAAAACGAGTAGCGCTTCATGACAAATCGGCGGCAATACTCCCGTAACTCAATAACGTTTAGAGCAGTTGTTACGATTATATTTTCCATATCTTGAATTGTTGCCAAACACGAGTGGTTGGTCGAGATTTAAAATCGCGTCATTGGCTGGAGCCTTCTGAGTTCTCAGTTATGAGCTGTGTGATATGGATTACCGGACTTAGGTAAAAGCTCAAACTAATCATCAGTGCCATAGATGGGAAAACTTCACACTACAGCACAGCTCACTAAATAAGCGCCTCTAGCAATTCTCAACTAACACGAAACGTATAACTACATGTCAGAGTTTTATTCAATTGTGTCAACCGTGTTCGTGCCCAAAGTGCCCACTGTGATAGGTTGAGAAGCTCCACTCAATATCAATATCTTCATTTTGGGATTGCGAACATCACTCTGAAGGACTCTATCAAATAAGCTTCATGACCTGATGCAATTTTGTGTTTCGCTATTGAAGAGGCCGGTTATCTGACACCATTCTCCGCCGTTTTATTGAATTTCACCACTGGTTTTGCAACCAACTTAGTAGGTGCTCCGAAATCTGTCACAACAAAGACCGATCCGTTTTGCTAATGTATTTGTCGCCACACGTGCAAAAGAGGATATGAAACATAAGGATCGACAATACTGTAAGAGTGATTTTTAACGCTGTATCTATGGTTGCCATATAACAGATGTAACTACAACGCTGTGTACGAGTGCTTTACGGATGGCTTGGGATTTTTAATTATTGGAATAATTGCGTGGTCTTCCTTATATAGAGAAACAAGTTAAATTATCTCTCCTCGACCGTACCCTGTTTGTTTGCAGTTTTCCGGTGTTGATGAAAGAACTGCTTGAGATAACAATTGAGCAGGGGTGTTCCCTTTATGAACGCACCTTCTTTTCGTACTAGATATCTGCCCAAAAATTCCGTCACTTTGATGAAGAGCGTCCAAACTTATCGGCCTTTGTAGATCTTGGTACAAGGTTGGATAACTTTAGCGATCAGCGACCACCTCAAGTGGTTTTGCCTTGAATACTCCCATTTTTTCTGGGCTTTGTGAAAACGAGCCTAGAAAACTCTAAGTTATTAGGCTGGGAAAATATATTTAGCGAGTTGTTTGGCGATAAATACTGCATTGCAGCCTTCTATCCAAAAGGTTTATATTGGGAATACTAGTGAAAAGTGGATTGTTATCACTTTCTTTTTCTAGAGTAGAGGAGAGATTAGAAAGAATAGAAATTGCGGTATTACTAGAAGGAATGAAACCCGGTTTTTTAAAAAGATGGATTCGTCGTCAACATATATTCTGTTGCAGGAATGCAAAAATGTCTCATCCTGAGTCATTTTTTCCATCATTTCCGTGAAAATGTCTTCCTCAAGAAATTCTGATGCGCATACCAATTATCTGCTTGTCAATTTTTCTTTCAAACATAAAACGGGTATTCTCGCTGCATGAAAAATAAGATTTTCCAGATATTCGATAGCAATGGGTAAGGGAAAGTTATGTGCAGAAATAAATTCATATACATAATCTACTTTTCCAAAAAAGGGAACTTATTGGAATGGAATCTCATTTCACCTGAAAACTACTGACAGGACTCATGAAAATTAGGTGTAGTTTGTAACTAATTTCAGTCAACAGTGAGAAGGAAACTACGTTAGATTTTCGGTAAAGTGGGCAGTAATGTCATCAATTCAGCGTGCAAATTTACAATATGCTACGTTTTCGCATGCTTATTATAAAGCTTGAAGCATCTTTAGCCTTGTGTACATTTGTCAACCCTCTGGAATGAGGCTCCTGTTACTTATTCGTTTTAGATTCAAATATCCTTCGGATGGCAATCCATTCAAGAGCCTAATTGGTGAATGTCTGAGGATTTGATTATTTACTAGAACAGTGTAAGCCGGTTCATATCTTCGTGTATGATGTAATATGTCCTCCTTCGTTGGCACATGCTAGTTTTGCTTCAAAACTACAAAGTCTGATCTTTTATTTATGTCGAGAAACTTTGAATGGTCCAATAGATTGATTTGAGCAACAAAAGTACGATTGTCTGACGACAAATAAAACTACTGGTGTATTGGTGCGGATAGGTGTCCCTCTCGGATATAATCTAGTTTTGCCTTGAACCAACGGAATTTGTCGGCAGACGTGGGAACCAGGTCTCTCGAGTGGTTTTAGAGAGATTCTCTTGCTGAAAAATCCTTTTTGGCTGATCCACTTTCTAAGGTGGTACAAAAATGTTGCTCTCAAAAACAGCACAATATCGTGTGCCGTGGTTAATTGAAAACCCGAGAAGATTTTGCATGTATGCGCATGGGAATGTACGAAATCGTGACCCCTGATGCTCGCTACACACACCGGCATCTGGGTTTTCTGTTGTTTTGTACGGGTTTTTCTCTGCCATTTCTCCTGAAATCTGCTCGGAACACATTCAACACATTTGCGATAAGAAATGGAAATGAGCTGCAAAGCTTTGTTCTGTTTTGATGGATTGGAACACATTTTCCTAAGCTGATTCTTGATGAGCACCCGCGATTGTAACGGATTTATAATTTACTTTGGAACAACTCCTCCAAAAACAGTTTAGGTAGTCATTTAGAAAATCGACACGGACGGCTTTATTTAGTGGAAAATCAATACGCGCCTTTTCTTCCACTGCTTTCAAACGTTTCTTTGATAAACGGTCCATAGATCGCGTGATATCACAGGGGATTCTTCTTCCTGAAGACGTCAATCATTGTAGCTCTTGGTCTCACTCATGAGAACAGATAGGTGATATTGTTACTGTGATTCACCTAATTGCATCAGACCACAGAGTTTACCTGGCCCCATTCTTTAGAGCTATGTGACACAGTAGTGTAAATTACTTATACTGTAAAAATCCAAAATGCCTTCGAAATTCGCCAGTAACTGTGATACGATAAGTGAAACTGTGAACATGCAAGGACGAATATCGTTTTCTTTTTCAGTCTCAACTGCGGATTATTTGCCAACCTATGCTTTGGCAGTAGACCACTCTGCGATAGAACAGCTGAATATATTTACCCGGGCGCAATCAATCCGGCGTATTAAACATACATTCGGGTTTCTATTTCAAATACAAACAAACGACAATGGTGCTTGAAATCTTGACAAATATTTGACGTACTTTTTGATCATGTGATTTCCTACGGCCCGAAGAAAGCTTACTAATTTAGTCAGCTTTCTTTAAAAATAGTTCATGTGATCTACGTTGTTGTTTGCAATTTCACTAAGCCAATTGCCACAGCTATCAATAGAAATCACCACAGCGGTGAACTGCTTGCGAAAGATTTCGTCAGAGTCAGAATATAACTTACTATCAATAAGGTAGTCTGAAATACTGCCATCAAAAATTATTTTTAGATACCGTCATCTACAACACGTTTTATTCAGCGGCTCACGTAGTTCTGATGTGAGAGTGAACTGATGAAATACTTGGCAAAGTGTGGTCCCGATTGAGACGCTTCATGCTTCCATATCCGAAGTAATTGTCAAATTTGGAAAGACAATTGGGTGTTTGTAGTCAGTGGATTTGAAAGGTATATAAGCAAACGGTGAAGAACAGAGAACTACAGTACTTCTTTGAGGCCACGATTCACCAATCGATTGGGGTAACGAAGTGAACATGCGAACTGCTATCATAATAATACTGGTGGTCGTCTGTTTGCGAGGAATGAGTAAGTACTCCAGTTATCTGTAAAACATGATAGTAGAGGTTTTTCTGAAATGATTGTGCCTTTATTTACGTACATTTTTCCATTGAAGAATACATTTTTTACGTGACGAAGAACATAAATTCCGGCGCCGATGAAATTTTAAGGATAATCATCGAAGGATACAAGTGAAATAAAACGGAAAAGTGAGGATTATATGTTATTCAGGCTTGATAAATTACATTGGAAAATGAGCTCAACAATTGCGACCAAAAAGTTTATTTCAATAGAATGACCTTAAGACAATACTCATGTAAGTGTCAATCAAAGTGGTGCGCAAAAGAAATGATGATGAACGGGAAACGAAGGAAGCAAAACCAGAAAAATGTGGGGTTAGAACTTCCATTTTCGCCTCAAATGCGCTGTAAAACTTCTGCAAGTCTAACAACAAAAAAATCTCACTGACATTCCTAGAAATCTATTCCAACAGAGCAGGAACAGATGGAAAGAATAAAAAACGAGAACCTGGAAAGTAAGAGGAATAGATAAAAAATATATAGAGAAATGAAATGAAAGGAATGATAGTGAAATGAAACATGAGTTAAAAATTACAAACAAAATAATAGAAGACAGATGGAAAATATGAAGAAAAAAAATGGAGATAACAAAAAGAATAGAAAAACGACTAAAACAAGAGAGAAAAAAAAGAAACCGCCTAAAAAGGCAAGTGAAGGTTGCAGTGAAATTCCTAGAGAAACTACATAATATGGATCACGAAAAAACAAATCGTGAAAAAGGCTGCGTGGATGTATCCGAGGGATGAATCTGTTCTCCGAATAATGCAAAGCAAGAAAATTTCACAAAACCCACATGAACTGGACATCCGTACGAAACGAATCGAAACCAAAAACATCTACTGTCAGTTTGTCAAAATATAAAAAGCATTTTGTCTATCGTGTCTTTCAAATTCGCCAGTGATCTTCACACAACTTCACACAGTGCTCTTCAGTTTATATCGGATTCGGACCAATTGATGAGATTATGTTACTGAAATTTCTGGTTCATTTTATGCTACCTCAATACGGAATGAATTATTGTATTCTGACATTCATTTCGTCACTAAAATGTTTCCAATTGATGAAGTGTTGGATGAGCTGAATGCACCATATCGCTTTAACAATAGGAATGCCAAATCGAACTGAATTGAACAGAACAATATGAATGCGATCCTGTTCATTTTGAATTACCTTGATGCGATTGAAAATTGTAAGATGAGATGAGACGCGATCGTGTGGAATTGCCTAAAATTGTATGTAGAAATACTGTTAAAATCGGACATGAATCATTAGAAACGGAATTGGTCTATTCCAAGAACAAATGTTTGGAATTGAATGTAAATTTATAACCAAATTACTGCCATTTCAACCAACCTTTTGTTTCATTTCACTAGTTGCACAAGAGACACAGAGTGAATCAGCACAAACACCTGAGGCCACAACCACATCTGCCACTGATGCACAAACACCCTCACAAGGTGAGTTCTTGTTTTCAACCGATTTCACTTTTTATAATTCTCTGTTCACCTAAAATGAATGCTCATCCACCGTCAAATTGTGATACTCATTTACGGATATAGTTAAGGTATAGGACTCAATAAATTGGGAAACGTGCAGCCAGTTGTTCTGGATCGTTCATCTTTATCAAATAATATTTAACAGTCGCTCGTGTGTATCCACCAAGAGAACGTGTGAGCACTCCAAATTGCAGTAACAAGGAAGTGTGCGTAGATTGGATTGGTCTATGTTACACAGGATCATACGAGAACTGCGTCATTTGATCAACAGGATCTCATTACCGTTCATTCACCCGTTAGTTCAATTCTAGTCAATCACTTTGACCGATTGTGATAACAATTCATCTATTCAGTCCCATCACACAATGATGGGTCCAATATGCTGCATGTTTATTGCACGTATTTGCCTTTGTCTGAAGCTCGACTAAAGTACTGTTTCCTAATTAGTGTCTTCTCGACGATTCAGTGAATATTTCTAATAGATTACGTGGAAACGATGATCAGCTTGTCGTTGGAGAACTTGATGAGCCACTTTAGAATTGTTAGTCCGCGAAACGTTCAGAATGTTGGTTATAAGACTAGTGTTAAAACATGTCCAATGGCTTCACTACACCATCGGCAAATATAAAGATCATCGTTTTGATCATGTCACAATAAACCATGAACAACGTTGAATGGATGATTCCGGTAAATCAATCTGTTCTCCGAATCTCAATGGGTTATTCCATTCAATATACAAACATACCTATATTGTTGGTGCTTGTGATTCTGATTGGACACATTGGACAAAGTTTGTTCCATTCGTATTCCACCTTATTCGGTTAAACCCGCATAAACTGGACATTTATACGAAGCGATTCGAAACGAAAAGCATCTAATGTCTATTTGTCAAAACATAACAAGCGTTTTGTCTATCACGTCTTTCTAATTCTCCAATAAACTTCGCACTAATGGATGTTCGAATATAAATTTTATAACCAAATTACTGCCATTTCAACCAACCTTTTGTTTCATTTCACTAGTTGCACAAGAGACACAGAGTGAATCAGCACAAACACCTGAGGCCACAACCACATCTGCCACTGATGCACAAACACCCTCACAAGGTGAGTTCTTGTTTTCAACCGATTTCACTTTTTATAATTCTCTGTTCACCTAAAATGAATGCTCATCCACCGTCAAATTGTGATACTCATTTACGGATATAGTTAAGGTATAGGACTCAATAAATTGGGAAACGTGCAGCCAGTTGTTCTGGATCGTTCATCTTTATCAAATAATATTTAACAGTCGCTCGTGTGTATCCACCAAGAGAACGTGTGAGCACTCCAAATTGCAGTAACAAGGAAGTGTGCGTAGATTGGATTGGTCTATGTTACACAGGATCATACGAGAACTGCGTCATTTGATCAACAGGATCTCATTACCGTTCATTCACCCGTTAGTTCAATTCTAGTCAATCACTTTGACCGATTGTGATAACAATTCATCTATTCAGTCCCATCACACAATGATGGGTCCAATATGCTGCATATTTATTGCACGTATTTGCCTTTGTCTAAAACTCGACTAAAGTACTGTTTCCTAATGAGTGTCTTCTCGACGATTCAGTGAATATTTCTAATAGATTACGTGGAAACGATGATCAGCTTGTCGTTGGAGAACTTGATGAGCCACTTTAGAATTGTTAGTCAGCGAAACGTTCTGAATGTTGGTTATAAGACTAGTGTTAAAACATGTCCAATGGCTTCACTACACCATCGGCAAATATAAAGATCATCGTTTTGATCATGTCACAATAAACCATGAACAACGTTGAATGGATGATTCCGGTAGATCAATCTGTTCTCCGAATCTCAATGGGTTATTCCATTCAATATACAAACATACCTATATTGTTGGTGCTTGTGATTCTGATTGGACACATTGGACAAAGTTTGTTCCATTCGTATTCCACCTTATTCGGTTGAACCCGCATAAACTGGACATTTATACGAAGCGATTCGAAACGAAAAGCATCTAATGTCTATTTGTCAAAACATAACAAGCGTTTTGTCTATCACGTCTTTCTAATTCTCCAATAAACTTCGCACTAATGGATGTTCGAATATAAATTTTATAACCAAATTACTGCCATTTCAACCAACCTTTTGTTTCATTTCACTAGTTGCACAAGAGACACAGAGTGAATCAGCACAAACACCTGAGGCCACAACCACATCTGCCACTGATGCACAAACACCCTCACAAGGTGAGTTCTTGTTTTCAACCGATTTCACTTTTTATAATTCTCTGTTCACCTAAAATGAATGCTCATCCACCGTCAAATTGTGATACTCATTTACGGATATAGTTAAGGTATAGGACTCAATAAATTGGGAAACGTGCAGCCAGTTGTTCTGGATCGTTCATCTTTATCAAATAATATTTAACAGTCGCTCGTGTGTATCCACCAAGAGAACGTGTGAGCACTCCAAATTGCAGTAACAAGGAAGTGTGCGTAGATTGGATTGGTCTATGTTACACAGGATCATACGAGAACTGCGTCATTTGATCAACAGGATCTCATTACCGTTCATTCACCCGTTAGTTCAATTCTAGTCAATCACTTTGACCGATTGTGATAACAATTCATCTATTCAGTCCCATCACACAATGATGGGTCAAATATGCTGCATATTTATTGCACGTATTTGCCTTTGTCTGAAGCTCGACTAAAGTACTATTTCCTAATTAGTGTCTTCTCGACGATTCAGTGAATATTTCTAATAGATTACGTGGGAACGATGATCAGCTTGTCGTTGGAGAACTTGATGAGCCACTTTAGAATTGTTAGTCAGCGAAACGTTCAGAATGTTGGTTATAAGACTAGTGTTAAAACATGTCCAATGGCTTCACTACACCATCGGCAAATATAAAGATCATCGTTTTGATCATGTCACAATAAACCATGAACAACGTTGAATGGATGATTCCGGTAGATCAATCTGTTCTCCGAATCTCAATGGGTTATTCCATTCAATATACAAACATACCTATATTGTTGGTGCTTGTGATTCTGATTGGACACATTGGACAAAGTTTGTTCCATTCGTATTCCACCTTATTCGCTTGAACCCGCATAAACTGGACATTTATACGAAGCGATTCGAAACGAAAAGCATCTAATGTCTATTTGTCAAAACATAACAAGCGTTTTGTCTATCACGTCTTTCTAATTCTCCAATAAACTTCGCACTAATGGATGTTCGAATATAAATTTTATAACCAAATTACTGCCATTTCAACCAACCTTTTGTTTCATTTCACTAGTTGCACAAGAGACACAGAGTGAATCAGCACAAACACCTGAGGCCACAACCACATCTGCCACTGATGCACAAACACCCTCACAAGGTGAGTTCTTGTTTTCAACCGATTTCACTTTTTATAATTCTCTGTTCACCTAAAATGAATGCTCATCCACCGTCAAATTGTGATACTCATTTACGGATATAGTTAAGGTATAGGACTCAATAAATTGGGAAACGTGCAGCCAGTTGTTCTGGATCGTTCATCTTTATCAAATAATATTTAACAGTCGCTCGTGTGTATCCACCAAGAGAACGTGTGAGCACTCCAAATTGCAGTAACAAGGAAGTGTGCGTAGATTGGATTGGTCTATGTTACACAGGATCATACGAGAACTGCGTCATTTGATCAACAGGATCTCATTACCGTTCATTCACCCGTTAGTTCAATTCTAGTCAATCACTTTGACCGATTGTGATAACAATTCATCTATTCAGTCCCATCACACAATGATGGGTCAAATATGCTGCATATTTATTGCACGTATTTGCCTTTGTCTGAAGCTCGACTAAAGTACTATTTCCTAATTAGTGTCTTCTCGACGATTCAGTGAATATTTCTAATAGATTACGTGGGAACGATGATCAGCTTGTCGTTGGAGAACTTGATGAGCCACTTTAGAATTGTTAGTCAGCGAAACGTTCAGAATGTTGGTTATAAGACTAGTGTTAAAACATGTCCAATGGCTTCACTACACCATCGGCAAATATAAAGATCATCGTTTTGATCATGTCACAATAAACCATGAACAACGTTGAATGGATGATTCCGGTAGATCAATCTGTTCTCCGAATCTCAATGGGTTATTCCATTCAATATACAAACATACCTATATTGTTGGTGCTTGTGATTCTGATTGGACACATTGGACAAAGTTTGTTCCATTCGTATTCCACCTTATTCGCTTGAACCCGCATAAACTGGACATTTATACGAAGCGATTCGAAACGAAAAGCATCTAATGTCTATTTGTCAAAACATAACAAGCGTTTTGTCTATCACGTCTTTCTAATTCTCCAATAAACTTCGCACTAATGGATGTTCGAATATAAATTTTATAACCAAATTACTGCCATTTCAACCAACCTTTTGTTTCATTTCACTAGTTGCACAAGAGACACAGAGTGAATCAGCACAAACACCTGAGGCCACAACCACATCTGCCACTGATGCACAAACACCCTCACAAGGTGAGTTCTTGTTTTCAACCGATTTCACTTTTTATAATTCTCTGTTCACCTAAAATGAATGCTCATCCACCGTCAAATTGTGATACTCATTTACGGATATAGTTAAGGTATAGGACTCAATAAATTGGGAAACGTGCAGCCAGTTGTTCTGGATCGTTCATCTTTATCAAATAATATTTAACAGTCGCTCGTGTGTATCCACCAAGAGAACGTGTGAGCACTCCAAATTGCAGTAACAAGGAAGTGTGCGTAGATTGGATTGGTCTATGTATCACAGGATCATACGAGAACTGCGTCATTTGATCAACAGGATCTCATTACCGTTCATTCACCCGTTAGTTCAATTCTAGTCAATCACTTTGACCGATTGTGATAACAATTCATCTATTCAGTCCCATCACACAATGATGGGTCCAATATGCTGCATATTTATTGCACGTATTTGCCTTTGTCTGAAGCTCGACTAAAGTACTATTTCCTAATTAGTGTCTTCTCGACGATTCAGTGAATATTTCTAATAGATTACGTGGGAACGATGATCAGCTTGTCGTTGGAGAACTTGATGAGCCACTTTAGAATTGTTAGTCAGCGAAACGTTCAGAATGTTGGTTATAAGACTAGTGTTAAAACATGTCCAATGGCTTCACTACACCATCGGCAAATATATAGATCATCGTTTTGATCATGTCACAATAAACCATGAACAACGTTGAATGGATGATTCCGGTAGATCAATCTGTTCTCCGAATCTCAATGGGTTATTCCATTCAATATACAAACATACCTATATTGTTGGTGCTTGTGATTCTGATTGGACACATTGGACAAAGTTTGTTCCATTCGTATTCCACCTTATTCGGTTGAACCCGCATAAACTGGACATTTATACGAAGCGATTCGAAACGAAAAGCATCTAATGTCTATTTGTCAAAACATAACAAGCGTTTTGTCTATCACGTCTTTCTAATTCTCCAATAAACTTCGCACTAATGGATGTTCGAATATAAATTTTATAACCAAATTACTGCCATTTCAACCAACCTTTTGTTTCATTTCACTAGTTGCACAAGAGACACAGAGTGAATCAGCACAAACACCTGAGGCCACAACCACATCTGCCACTGATGCACAAACACCCTCACAAGGTGAGTTCTTGTTTTCAACCGATTTCACTTTTTATAATTCTCTGTTCACCTAAAATGAATGCTCATCCACCGTCAAATTGTGATACTCATTTACGGATATAGTTAAGGTATAGGACTCAATAAATTGGGAAACGTGCAGCCAGTTGTTCTGGATCGTTCATCTTTATCAAATAATATTTAACAGTCGCTCGTGTGTATCCACCAAGAGAACGTGTGAGCACTCCAAATTGCAGTAACAAGGAAGTGTGCGTAGATTGGATTGGTCTATGTATCACAGGATCATACGAGAACTGCGTCATTTGATCAACAGGATCTCATTACCGTTCATTCACCCGTTAGTTCAATTCTAGTCAATCACTTTGACCGATTGTGATAACAATTCATCTATTCAGTCCCGTCACACAATGATGGGTCAAATATGCTGCATATTTATTGCACGTATTTGCCTTTGTCTGAAGCTCGACTAAAGTACTATTTCCCAATTAGTGTCTTCTCGACGATTCAGTGAATATTTCTAATAGATTACGTGGAAACGATGATCAGCTTGTCGTTGGAGAACTTGATGAGCCACTTTAGAATTGTTAGTCAGCGAAACGTTCAGAATGTTGGTTATAAGACTAGTGTTAAAACATGTCCAATGGCTTCACTACACCATCGGCAAATATAAAGATCATCGTTTTGATCATGTCACAATAAACCATGAACAACGTTGAATGGATGATTCCGGTAGATCAATCTGTTCTCCGAATCTCAATGGGTTATTCCATTCAATATACAAACATACCTATATTGTTGGTGCTTGTGATTCTGATTGGACACATTGGACAAAGTTTGTTCCATTCGTATTCCACCTTATTCGCTTGAACCCGCATAAACTGGACATTTATACGAAGCGATTCGAAACGAAAAGCATCTAATGTCTATTTGTCAAAACCTAACAAGCGTTTTGTCTATCACGTCTTTCTAATTCTCCAATAAACTTCCCACTAATGGATGTTCGAATATAAACTTTATAACCAAATTACTGCCATTTCAACCAACATTTTGTTTCATTTCACTAGTTGCACAAGAGACACAGAGTGAATCAGCACAAACACCTGAGGCCACAACCACATCTGCCACTGATGCACAAACACCCTCACAAGGTGAGTTCTTGTTTTCAACCGATTTCACTTTTTATAATTCTCTGTTCACCTAAAATGAATGCTCATCCACCGTCAAATTGTGATACTCATTTACGGATATAGTTAAGGTATAGGACTCAATAAATTGGGAAACGTGCAGCCAGTTGTTCTGGATCGTTCATCTTTATCAAATAATATTTAACAGTCGCTCGTGTGTATCCACCAAGAGAACGTGTGAGCACTCCAAATTGCAGTAACAAGGAAGTGTGCGTAGATTGGATTGGTCTATGTATCACAGGATCATACGAGAACTGCGTCATTTGATCAACAGGATCTCATTACCGTTCATTCACCCGTTAGTTCAATTCTAGTCAATCACTTTGACCGATTGTGATAACAATTCATCTATTCAGTCCCATCACACAATGATGGGTCCAATATGCTGCATATTTATTGCACGTATTTGCCTTTGTCTGAAGCTCGACTAAGGTACTATTTCCTAATTAGTGTCTTCTCGACGATTCAGTGAATATTTCTAATAGATTACGTGGAAACGATGATCAGCTTGTCGTTGGAGAACTTGATGAGCCACTTTAGAATTGTTAGTCAGCGAAACGTTCAGAATGTTGGTTATAAGACTAGTGTTAAAACATGTCCAATGGCTTCACTACACCATCGGCAAATATAAAGATCATCGTTTTGATCATGTCACAATAAACCATGAACAACGTTGAATGGATGATTCCGGTAGATCAATCTGTTCTCCGAATCTCAGTGGGTTATTACATTCAATATACAAACATACCTATATTGTTGGTGCTTGTGATTCTGATTGGACACATTGGACAAAGTTTGTTCCATTCGTATTCCACCTTATTCGGTTAAACCCGCATAAACTGGACATTTATACGAAGCGATTCGAAACGAAAAGCATCTAATGTCTATTTGTCAAAACATAACAAGCGTTTTGTCTATCACGTCTTTCTAATTCTCCAATAAACTTCGCACTAATGGATGTTCGAATATAAATTTTATAACCAAATTACTGCCATTTCAACCAACCTTTTGTTTCATTTCACTAGTTGCACAAGAGACACAGAGTGAATCAGCACAAACACCTGAGGCCACAACCACATCTGCCACTGATGCACAAACACCCTCACAAGGTGAGTTCTTGTTTTCAACCGATTTCACTTTTTATAATTCTCTGTTCACCTAAAATGAATGCTCATCCACCGTCAAATTGTGATACTCATTTACGGATATAGTTAAGGTATAGGACTCAATAAATTGGGAAACGTGCAGCCAGTTGTTCTGGATCGTTCATCTTTATCAAATAATATTTAACAGTCGCTCGTGTGTATCCACCAAGAGAACGTGTGAGCACTCCAAATTGCAGTAACAAGGAAGTGTGCGTAGATTGGATTGGTCTATGTATCACAGGATCATACGAGAACTGCGTCATTTGATCAACAGGATCTCATTACCGTTCATTCACCCGTTAGTTCAATTCTAGTCAATCACTTTGACCGATTGTGATAACAATTCATCTATTCAGTCCCGTCACACAATGATGGGTCAAATATGCTGCATATTTATTGCACGTATTTGCCTTTGTCTGAAGCTCGACTAAAGTACTATTTCCCAATTAGTGTCTTCTCGACGATTCAGTGAATATTTCTAATAGATTACGTGGAAACGATGATCAGCTTGTCGTTGGAGAACTTGATGAGCCACTTTAGAATTGTTAGTCAGCGAAACGTTCAGAATGTTGGTTATAAGACTAGTGTTAAAACATGTCCAATGGCTTCACTACACCATCGGCAAATATAAAGATCATCGTTTTGATCATGTCACAATAAACCATGAACAACGTTGAATGGATGATTCCGGTAGATCAATCTGTTCTCCGAATCTCAGTGGGTTATTACATTCAATATACAAACATACCTATATTGTTGGTGCTTGTGATTCTGATTGGACACATTGGACAAAGTTTGTTCCATTCGTATTCCACCTTATTCGGTTAAACCCGCATAAACTGGACATTTATACGAAGCGATTCGAAACGAAAAGCATCTAATGTCTATTTGTCAAAACATAACAAGCGTTTTGTCTATCACGTCTTTCTAATTCTCCAATAAACTTCGCACTAATGGATGTTCGAATATAAATTTTATAACCAAATTACTGCCATTTCAACCAACCTTTTGTTTCATTTCACTAGTTGCACAAGAGACACAGAGTGAATCAGCACAAACACCTGAGGCCACAACCACATCTGCCACTGATGCACAAACACCCTCACAAGGTGAGTTCTTGTTTTCAACCGATTTCACTTTTTGTAATTCTCTGTTCACCTAAAATGAATGCTCATCCACCGTCAAATTGTGATACTCATTTACGGATATAGTTAAGGTATAGGACTCAATAAATTGGGAAACGTGCAACCAGTTGTTCTGGATCGTTCATCTTTCTCAATTTTATTTTCACTGTCACTTCTCTCTGACCATTTCATTTTTGATCGTCTGTTTTCTCTCTGTTAGTTGTCCGCTGTTTTACTCTTTTTCTTCTTTGAATACTCGGTTCCTTTCCATGAATCTTTTTCTACTTTTTTTTGTGCGTTCTCCGATTCTCTTCATATTTTTCTTTATTCTTTGCGCATTTATTCAGTCCTTTTTAGAATGCCTCCTGTCGTTCTCTCCTCGAGCATTTTGTTTTTCGACAACGAGTTTTAGGTTCTATCATTTATTTTTAATTTATCGCCGCCTTTTTTCTTTCTGCGTTTTATCTATTTCATCCTTGTGAAAAGGCTCACACAGCTCGGCGAATCCGCCAGCTCCCGAAGTTTCATCCTCATCTTCAACTATACCACCCACGCAAAGTAAGTGCACTAGTTACAAACAAGTTCCGTTGATTCCTGCTCTTCAACGTGTACCTAATAAAACACACATTGTGATTCATTGAACTCGCTATGTTATGTTTGCATATAGATGCAACTACCGCTGGTTGTTTCATTATTGTGCTTTCTTTTCGTTTCGTAGTAGAGATTACTATATATTCGTTTGAATTTCCCCCCCCATTGGTACCAATCCCTATGTATGTATATTGATCTGACTAGCTTGGCGGTCGGATAACCACAGTAAACATGCAGGAAATTACTGAACGTGCTTGTCGACTGATATAAGTTACCTAAATGTATCCCATGATTTCCAAATATATAGGCTCAAGCAGCACAGGGGCTCCTTCCGCGACCACAACTGAGTCTACACCAACATCCACAATGTCCACAAAAAGTGAGTTCAAGTTTCCAACCGTTCATTCCACAGAATGTATACATTTTAAACACGAAGTTACCCGCAGTAATTTCTTTCGGCTAATGCTGTTCCTCCGCAGGTGGTTCAATGCAGCCTCAGAGTCATTCAACGGGCTGGATTTTAACACTCATCGCTGGAGCTGCCTTCTTTTGATCGCCGGCTTTCGTGAATCCAAAGCTGATTCAGTGGATTCAATCACCAAGCGTCACTGGAAGCCAAGCAAATTGCTGTTCTCAAATCAGCTAATTATCATTCCGCAAATAAATACTTACTGGAATTCAGCGTTCTCTAATCTAAAATATACACGCTTGCATGAGGTACATTACCAGCAGTCAGTTAAACATTTCTGTTACTTTAACGTCACAGAGGTTTGGGAGATTCACAAATTAGATTTATATTCTATCCCGATCATAGTTTAAATTTGTTCTTGGAAGATATCAGATGTCGAAACAACTCTTATCCCATATTTCAACTGGGGAAGTTGGTGGGACCTGTATCCTTTCTGAAACATATAAACTGATCATTGACAATTAGCTTGTTCGCAAATCGGTTCATCATTCCGATGCTGGTATATTCTGCACAACCTTCCAATGCATATGTATATTTTGATGAGCTAAGCCATGACATCGGACGACATCGTGGTATGCTAACAAATCGTGGTTCATTTTCTCGTGATTATATGTACAAGTTTCCAAGCCGATCGTTATTCGATATTTAACGACATGGACTATTCATCATGGACATGCTACATCAAAAATCCAATCAGAATATCACGTTGTAACTGAGAGAGATCTCTTACCCGAAAGCAGATTCTGAAACCACAAATACTAGGTCGACAATGAAATCTTTAGAAGATTTGTTCGGGATTCATTACAATTTGAACTTGGAATGCAGCAAGACATCAGTATTCCTTCCACTTACTCAGAATCACATAAGAAACACGATGTTCAATGGTTCTCATCATCCAAATTGAAGACATTTAGAATGCAAACAAAATAAAAATTCCTAAAAGTGTTGCATTACTACAGGAGTTGAGCAGGTTGTTCCCGTTGCGCGCTGACATCTCTCACTCAGAGACTGATTTTCCGTTATCGTTGTGGTCTCCGTGCAGTGGTAGAATGTGGTTTCACCTACATTCTGAGAATAGCAAGCAGACTATAAGTTTCATTGTTCGAAACTCTCACTAAGCTTTATAGTATTGGTATATATGAAGATATTAAGCTCTGTGACATTGCCGTCGTGCACAAGCACAATATGTGTGCATCATTTTGAACAAAAACTCTACATTCGTCGATAAATGTCCGTGTTTATGTATATATGTTTATAGAAGTGCGACAACGTGCAAATGTCTAAGGAAACATATGCATGCGCATGTATATGTACGTTTATTTTTATACCTAGGAGTTGAAATTCCATATACAGTTTGTTGATAACAACTTCACCAACCTTGAATGATTGTCTAATAGACCGAGATATTAGACTGGGTGAGCGAGCTTCTAAGTGGCACTCCGTTACATGCACTGTTTTCACAAGTTCAACTTGCTTGATAACTCACAAGATTATTCATTCAATTACATAGGCATTTATCGCGTACCTTTCTCCTTTAATTTCCGAGCCCACCTTAGCGATAATCATGCGACACATTGCCGAAGGAGGATTAAAATTCGATCGATTTTGAACTGTCTAATCAGATACTGGTATGTAACAAGTGGTATTACACCATCCGCATCAGGCGGACGTTTGGTACTACATTTCCCGAGTGACACAAACCGAGGTCTCCAACGCATTCAGGTTTATCCACGATTATAGTTTTTCACATAACCACGAAAAAAGAAACGTCTATTGATGTTAGTTTGAGAAGCTTGTCTGAATATGTACTCTAACGAAACTATTTTCCCAACATTTCGGTAACAACAGTGCTTCATTTCAGTGCGGATTAAATGATAATGACCACAGTTTCATTGGATCAACGCTATTTGTATCTTGAAATGATAGCGAACCACATCCTTTGCCTTATCTTGATGCTTCGAAATACTCCCATGAAGTTGTTTCATGGAATCCCTGAGGAAGGCGATTTCAGTTCCATCAGTCCATTCGACGGGCCTTTCTAATCCTCTTTTGCTTGACTGTGCCATATATATTATTTCATGTGATGGGACTTTCCATATATGCGTACACTAACGAGCATCAAACGGTACATAACACCGTTCACATCGTTATTTCTGTACAAAAGCTGCCTAAAAATTCAACAGGTTTTTGTCACACCATCAGTTCGAAGGTGGGAGAGAATAAACATTGAACATACCTGGTGGTTTCCGGACATCTCAAACTGATCGGACCGATAGAAGATGTATCTACTGCGTGCACGGTGAACATAATTGTTCTTCTGATAAACTGTAGAATCACGGTTGCATGGTACTCACACAAATAATAATCAGTTGAATGGATTATTCTTTTTGAATTCACAGATGAATTTTTCAGCTTATATTCAACTCTGGCAAAACTGAAGAAATCTAGTAATCCCCAGCTTATGAATTATATTATCTTCGGAATTATGTATGATTTCCAATTACGGTGTGAAAGTTGTTTCCAAACATGAAGGCTGTTCACTTTCATATTCGGTTTTCAATTTATATAATAACAGTAAAAATAAATTCGCCCTGAATTCCTTCCTCAGCAAGATTCACAAGCGAGGTCCTAAGAAATCCAGCCGTGTAGCATTCATTAGGTGTCCGGTACCATTCCACTCATTGAACGGAATACAAAATCATCCAGCTGAGCGCTTACTCGTAGCGCCGGACTGGGTTAAACTCTTTACTGGGATTATCAGGACTCGGAGGGGGGTCACGCAAATGCTTTCAGGGTGAAAGAGCCTGGCTTCAAACCCTAGGTTCGGAGTATGATATGCAACATTGTCAAGATTCTACAAGAGCGTTTCTTGAATCTGGTTTTTCTGAGAGAAAGGTTGGTCGGATGAGCTGATTTTTTTGCCTCAATTGTAAAGTCTAGAAGCACAGTCAACTAATAAATTATCAAATCCACACAACACTTGCTAGTATTTGCGAGGTCTACGTGAGTTCAAAGCAAAAGGTTTTCATGAAATCACATTATTTTTTGGGTTTTCTTTAATTCATTATTTCCTCCTAGTTGTATATGAAGCCTCTTGAGGATACATTTAACACATTATACAGCACGAATTTCCTTGGCTTTTCTTTGATAACGCTTTTAGTCTTGTGTTTCCCAATGCCAGTATTGAGACATTGTCAGTGACTGATATTATATATATACATATGAGATGTGACATATTTAGCAGGTAAAATATGACATCAACATGGTTGATCGTTTGAAGGAGGATATTTAATTAAAGTCTACGTTGGATGCTGATAGTTGCTGATCATTATTCTCGAACTTCTCGGTTTCGTCAAGAGGAAGACGAATATGCTCCTCAATGGCATCGTTTCTACAACAGGGCCTGAATAGTACTCGCAAATTTTCGGCGAGTAGACTGAGATGCGTTCGATGGATGAATTATCCCTGAGTGCTGGTGTGACTTAAATAGGTCGAGTTATCAAGCTTTCATGATCAGTTTGAGTGGGAAATGACCGATTGAACATAAATAACTATCACTTTCACCGATCCAAATGAATCGGTAAAGCATTTTCTCCCCTGTGCAACGTACATCTTGTTTTTTGTCAGTTTTCGGTAGCCATGATGCTTTCCCCCGAATTTCCCCACTGATTTTCAATAAAGTAGTCTTCGGTCCTCGAGTGGATGTTTTGTATCGGTTGGTGACCGCTGAGCTTGGAAATTCAGTCCGATGAAGCCGCATATCGGTCTTTACGGCCGTAATTAGGAATGTAAGTAAATCAATCGAGTAAGCTATCTAAATTGGTAGTTTGGATGAGGAACGAACGATAAATTTCTGCTTTGCAGCAAAGGCTGAATGTAGATTGGTGGTCAGTACCCTGTATTGTTACAAACCATCCGTTGTAAGAAAGGTTCAAAGAGGCCCACTGTCTGGAAACCGAGACCTGTGGAGAAAACGGATTCTGAATTCCAGATCTGAACAAAACATGAGAAGGTTGTGATGACTTGTTGTTCTGCAGTCGCAAAACGAATTTCGTCGTATAATCTTTTATTACGCGTTTTATGTTGGATAGTTTATTCTCGATCCGTAAATGACGTTCAAAAGCAGCTTATGGTCGCTTTATTCATATAGAAAAATGCTCTCCCGATACTTCTATGGTCTTTGCTTATAGGTCACAACTGAATGACCCGTACAGTTGCGCTGCACATACAGTGATCACTCCAAAAGTACGCATTGGAAATGCAGTTCTTCTTATGAAAAACCATTCACAAATCCTACGTGAAAACGTGATGTACTGCAATTATGCAATATTATTATCCACGAATGTGGCGAAAAGCCATTTTGGTTGGTGTCAATGACGAACTGACAGCAAAGCAACGCACCTTCAACAAAGATCCATCGACAAAATTGTTTGCATCAATACAAAATGTGAATGTTGGAGCACGGCATAAACTGAGATGCCAGTTTGGCATTTTCTTACACGGATAATCATTTGTTCAACCAACCACCGCTCGTGATGAACCAAATATTCTTCCGCAACACAGATCGATGGCCAGTGCGACTGGGATCAGCTGGTACTTGCCACCTTCCAAATCGCAATGTCCTAAAGCCTGTTATTCTAGATGGCTTTGGGTGGATCGATGAAAGGTTTACAACGAGCATCCGTAGGTTCCACACTACCGTTACTCACCGATGATATGTAAAGACGTCATTAGTAGGCCGAAGCTTCGTTACTTACAAGCCTGCTTGGTTTGATTTCAGTGTCATGGCTTCGTTATAAACCATTGGTTCTTCGATATCAGCAGCAGTCTTTGTCGTCCCGCAGACGACTGGATTTCAGTTCTGTCTACTGAGAGAAATACAGTAGCTAAATACGATATCAACCAAGCAAGCCGTTTTGCTTGTGCCCCCTCCATGGAAGTTGTGCATTGCAGAGCATTGCTGAGCACTAGGCGGAATTACCGCTGAACGAGCCAGGGACAGAAGAGAGCTAAACCCTACCATGGTAAATCTCGACATAACTCTGGGTGCACTCAAATTGATAGAAATGAGTAGATAATCAAGCTCGTCAGTCATTCTTTCATGGCTTTCAAGGATGAATAAAACATTCATGCCATGTGAAGAATCATTTGAGACAGCTGTATTCTTGTTCGAAGAGTATGGCGCATGCATGGACTGGAAGCCCGTTTTTGAAATCGCGAGGGGATTTTTTGAAAGTTATTTCGTCAGGCAACACGGCTAACATTTACAACGAGGATATATGGTCTCAAGTATGAACTTTCGAAATACGTAGAATAACATTGTACCTGGATGATAGGACGGGCCGGTGATTTCAAAAAAATGGACCTTTCTTCCATGCAGACTTCATGAGAATAAAATAAGATCACATCCGCAAAACGATTAAGGATAAATCGGTAGAGGAGTACCGGGTGCGCATACATGATGGGCAGCGAAAATGCCACACCGTTTAGATTTTCGTGGGAGTTTTGTCCTTTCATGCAGACTCGAATCTCTACTACTCAATAATACGTGACATAGGAAAATGGGGGTGGTCACGTAGAATTCGTAGCCTTATGGCTTGGCTTGCGACGTTCAAGCGTATGTAAACGCTCCCGAAGGCCATTTGTATGCGATTACGTGTGGCAAGGCCCTCGGTTAGAATATTCATTGCTGAAGTTCGCCAGTTTGCGGTGAAGTGTGCCAAAAGTTAAAATGGAGCATCATTTTTTGTCACTACCAGCCGGCCATAATCGTGATGGAATGAATTCAGATATGGTAAAACGAAACAAGGTTGATTCCTTTTCGAGTAACCCAAACAATAATAGAAACAGAACGTTCATAGGAGTAATTTTCTGCGAGTTTGCCTCTGTTAGCCAGGATTTTTCAGTCTCTTCGGCACTGAGTCTACCACTTTGCGTATGACACACCTTATAATCCATATACTTTAAAACTTTTGACCCCAAAGCTCAGTATGCAAGGGAGCGAAGTGTCTTCTCTGTTCAAAACAGATGGAAAGTCCATCAATATCAATAGACCTTCGAAGTGAGTTTGTAAATAAATGACTGGAAGATAAAATTGAACATTTTCCCACTAGTATGGGAACTAATAATGAACCTGTAGATATTTTTCCGTGAATGTTTTGACAAACGCCTTTCACAGCATGATGGTATATTTTCTTGAAAATAATTTGTAACCTACCATGGTGAGTTTGAGTAGAGTGATAGTGCATTCAGATGAATGACAAGTCTTTTATTATTTCATTTACCTCTGAACGAATTCCCCTGACAAGATTAATACCACTTTGTTCGCATTCAAATATTTGGGCATCTGGTTGGGTACATTTTCAGGAGATATTCAAACACCAAAGGATTTTATTCACCAGCTTCACGGAGGCATCATATGCGAAAAATTCGAGTAAAACACAAACCCGTTGCCAGCATAATACGCGTTGTGATGAGAGTCCCCTGAATAAATCGGTGTTCGACCTTCTGCTTTGGGCTTTCTATTGAGGCTTCATGTTAGCTGATTCTAGTTATATGAAAACTTCCCCATAATAATCTGAATAGTGGCGTGGGAGTGTCTGGAAAATTTCTAACGCTGAGTTAAGTAAGAAATATACGACCTTCTTTCTTGAGTGTACCACGCATAAAATTATATTGATACGGCTTTCATGAATATTACGCCTGTGAAAGGTGTTTTTCTGGAGTGCTTATTTTGAAGTTGGAATGCTTTACAGGATTCATCAGAAAATTGCGTTTCATAAGCTGCTGCAAAGTGTTGTGCTTCGTTTGGTGAATGGGGACGAGAACTTACAGTTTTACACCTTTTGTTCCGTTTAGCCCGAATGCAATATAAGCGAATATTGAGGTGCATTCGAAAGACATTCAGGTCAACCTTTACGTTGACTTAAATTAGAATTTACTAAAAAGTTGGATAGTTATTGATAGAAAGTATCAATGCACTACGTGTAGCATTATTTTTCATAAGTTTGATAAAGTTACCATTGACATTCTTATAAAAGGCACATGCAAGTGGACTATTTTGGATTGGAAACCCGCTTCAACCAAATTCATACGATAGTAAACCTATCTACATATAATCTGTGATAGTTTATATGGTCTTGTGTTCGAACTCTAGTTAGTTATTCTTAGATTACTTAGCTCAATTCCCGTACCATTGGGAACCAAGGGCACGCAAGTGTAACTATCCTCAGGGCATAATATAATCAACAGATGCGAGAGGAAACTTTCGCAAAATTTACTTCATTTCCGACGCTGCGAAATACCCTTATAAACCGAAAATCTCGAATCATTTACTAATGAAACACCCCGATACCTGCACCCAAGAGTCATATAAACTGAGTACGAAAAGACCTTACCAGAATCACACAGTTTCTTTCATCGTGGTATCAAATCTGGCCCGTGCAGAACGAAGCCACGTTTGCTTCGCGTTGCTAAGTTCGAGTTTTGGGATTCCGTACCGAAACGAGTAGTTCATACATCTATTATAAAGCAGTCTTCTCATCGAGACCACTATCTCGTGCTGAATATTGTGCCTTTACTCAGGAGAGATGAGCAACAGGCTCAAAAAATGAGCTGATTTAGTCGCGTATCGAATTTGGGCACATCGCTTTGCAGTCTCTGAGAGCATACAGCCCTTGTGTTCGAGGGTCGCTGGCAGGGTACCCTCCACATCCTTCCCCGAAACCACTGAGCGTTCTCGACCACTCAGTGTGAGCCGTTGCCACTTTATACTCGATTCCCCATAGAAGTGGGCACCATCTTATCCCTGACCCAAACATGCTCTCCATAACAATAAGTTGTTCTCCCCATGACCACCGCTGGGAAAAGTAGCGACTCATATTAAGAAACTGGGA